GGGATTACAGGCATGCACCACCATGCCCAGCTAATTTTTTGTATTTTTTGTAGAGACGGGGTTTCACCATGTTGACCAGGATGGTCTCGATCTCTTGACCTCGTGATCCACCCTTCTCGGCCTCCCAAAGTGCTGGGATTACAGGCTTGAGCCACCGCGCCCGGCCGTAAGTTTTTTCCTATCTAAGACCACAACCTTTAAATGTTATCTACAGACCCCTTGGTGGCAGGTTTGTGTAACCAGATTAAGAACACCTGGGGGCCGAGCTCAGTAGTTCATGCCTATAACCCTAACAGTTTGAGAGGCCAAGGCAGGCAACTTGTTTGAGCCCAGGAGTTCAAGACCAGTCTAGGCAACAATGAGACCCCCCCCCCCCCCCCCAGAACATACAAAAAAATTAGCCAGGCATGGTGGCATGTGCCTGTATTCCCAGTTACTTGGGTGGCTGAGGTGGGAGGATCACCTGAGCCCAGGAAGTCAAGGCTTCAGTGAGCCATGATCACACCATTGCACTCCAGCCTGGGTAATGGAGTCGGACCCTGTCTCAAAAAAAATAAACAAACAAAACCCCTGGGAAAACTCCGAGTTCTTTTCAAAATCACTAGAAACTTCAACTTCATCCAGCCATTCAGGGTGAGAAATCAGATTTCTAGGAATGGCCTCCAAACCCAAAGAATTTTTCCAGCAGCCACAAATAGTGAGTTACAGAGACTCTGGCTATTAAGCCTTGGGAACCTCTGTTGGGATTACAGTCATCCAGACCCCTGTTCTCCAGCCCTCATACCTTCTTTCCTTAAGGAACATCCTCAGAGAGCTTCCCTGCTCTTGCTCTCCTTGTCAGCAGGTACCACATACATCATCGTCCTGTCGGTCTGCCACCCCTAACACCACCTTCTTTACTTTCGTTGAAATGTCAATTGGTTGTCTTTTCTCTGTTTACTTCAACTGGGCCATTGGCTGAACAAATCTGAGAACAATGGCAATCAAGTCATGGTGAGATCTCAGCTTCAACAGATTCATGCCTATGGATTCAGCCCCAACTTGCCCAAATCCTTGTCACTGAGGGAACCAGGTAAGGGAATGTGGATGGGCAGGTACCACACATCAACAAATATTTATTGTGCCCCTACTGAGCTGGCACTTGGTTACAAAGACATAGTACATGCACCCACATTTGAAGACAATAATCCCCCCATCCCCCGATGGTCCCTGAGATGACTTTATTCATCCACAATTTCTTATTGGACACCTACTAGTTTTCAGGCATTGAGTAGGTGCTGGGAATAAATATTAGACCAGTAAGTGAATATGAAAGATTGCTTCCTAGTATAAAGAGTGCCATAAAAAGATTTGACAGGAACAATATGGGATAGGATAACAGGAAGGGGGTGTTTTGTTTCATGTGTCAGTAGGCAAAATCCTCCCTGAGACTTTAAACAGAAAAAGACCTGAAGGATGAGAAGGAGCTATTTGTATGAAAGGCCAGAGAAAAATGAAAGGGCGGGAAAGAGCTCAGTGTCCTTAAAGAATGATCGTAAATCCAGAGAGGCCAAGACTGCTGATGAAGGAAGAAACTGACATGAGCTTGGCTGGAGAGGCAGACACCTGCCATGTCAAAGAAGGTGAGGGATGGAGAGGAGTGGCTAACAGCGTGGCCTCCAGAATCAGACTTGCTCAGCCAGAGTCTGGCTCTACAACTTCTCTAGCTGCGCAGCTGCAGGCTAGTTGCTTACCTTCTCTGAGCCTCAGTTTCCTCATCTTTAAGTTAGGATCATTCTATGGCTCCCTCACTGGGTCATGAAATGCACCAATTAGTGTAAAGCACTCTGAACAGTGCGCCTGGCACACAGTGTGTGCTACGTCATGGTTTGCTGTGACCTCTTCCAAGCTCAGTGAGAAGTTGTGGAGGATTTGAAGCAGGGAAGAGACACAATCTGGTTTGTCTTTAACAGATGATCAGCCATTCTGTGGACTACTGGTCATCAATAAGACAAAGAGTTGGAAGAGACCCTAGAGGTCATTTACATCAACTACTTTCCCAGTGGTTCTCTCTGGGAAGGGGAGGGGACGGTGCCTGGAGAGACATCACTGAAAGGCAGGAGAGTGGCTGCTCCTCAAGTATGTTGGACAGCAGAGAAGGTTTAGAGGTGGCCGGCCCCAACTTCTGGAGAAGGGCCTCCAATCTCTGGCCAGTGGAGAGTCCACTATTCCCATTTCCAGATCATCCCAGTCCCACATCCTGCTGTGCAGCCTGTTCCTGTTTAGCCAGTGTCAATGTCACTGTTCCTGGACTATAAGTGCCTCCCTCAAGGACAGCAGCCATTTCCTCTCACTCTCCCTGTACAGTGACTGACATGGGCCACACACAACTGCGTCCTCTGAGCTTTTGAATTATTGATTGGAAAAAGGAAGATGGAGCCACAGCATTTTAGTGTCACTCCTGGAACGACGTGGTCTGTAAGGGATCTAGAGGGCCTTTAGGAGAGCCTTCAAGTCATGCCCCAGCCCCAGGGCCAGCCTTCCTCAAATCACTCTAGCAAGACTCTGCCTCTTGGTTCTCTAGAGAACATTCTGCACGCTGCAGAAATGCATCCTGGAGGTCACAGCCTATGCAGGGAAATCCTTCCAAACCGCTTCCCCAGACCCCTTCTGCTGCTCTTTACAATGGGAACACGCCTGTTTCCTGCACAAAGGGGCTCTGGCGGTCAACAAATGACGGGATAAAAGCTCTCCTGTCTCCAGGGATATCTGCAGAGACATCTTGGGGGAGGCCATAGCAACCCCCTCTGACCGGCTGGAGCTCAGAGCTGCTGGGGGGTGGGGGAGAACCCTTCAGGCTCCTCTGGGATTCCCCTCTCCAGACCCCCAGCTCCCCAGCTCCTGCAGGACAGTAGCCACCTCCCCTCTGGCTTTCCAGGCATTCTCTCTTCTCATCTCTGGCAGAGCTTGCCCGACCCTGGCTCCACAATCACCACCCTCCTCCCTCTCACAGTCCCCAGTCCTCTTCCCAATTCTGCAAGCTCCTCATTCTCTAGTTCCTCTCAGCGCCTTCTATAACCCTGGTGATTGCCCTCCCAACCTCCCTCCCCTCTTACCGATCCCAGCCCTAATTCTTATCCAAGTCCCCTTTCCTATCCCCTCCCTTTAGCTCTCTGTTGGCCCCCATTCTTCTCTCAGTCCCCACAAGAACCCCCCTCCCTAATTCTCCTCCACGTCTCCCCCATCCCCCAGCTTCTCCCATCGCCCTACCTTTTTGACTCCTTGGCCTGTCCTCCAGCGCCTCTGCTGTCCCCTCTCCCCTCTAAGCTTTGTCGTGCAAAGATCCGCGCCCGCCTCCCACCCCATTTCCCCCTCTGCAGCTGCCCGGCGACCCCGCCTCGCCCCTCGCCCCGGGAGGGCCCGCGCGCCGCCCCACGCTCACCTGTTGTGCCGACCGGAGCACGCCAGGCTTCGCCTTCTCAGGGTCTGGGTCCTGGTCCCGCGGCAGCAGCCCCTTCTTGGGGTGCATGTGCCGACACAGGCAGGTGACCCCGCACAGCGCGAGGATGCTGGTGGCCGTGCCCAGCGTGGCGCCCAGCGCGATCACTGGCACCGACAGCACCATGGTGCCCGCTCCCAGCGCGGGGCTGGGTGCCGCCGCCGCGCACCTTCCCGGGGCCGGGCCCGCCTACAGGCAGCTCCCAGGATCAGGACGAGCCAGCAGCTCTCCCGCCGCCAGAGGGGCGGGGACGGAGGGAGGGAGGACGGCTGCGAGGACGTCAGAGGAGGCTGCACCCGGAGCCGCGTCAACCGGCACCCCTCTCCCCGCCAACACGTGACCGGACCCCCACCCCACCGGGAGCTGGAGCCTTCCAGGTGGAAGGAGCCTTGGGGTTGTTTCAGGCCGGCCTTAATGCTTTGTGTACAAAGGGAACAATTCGGCCCAGGAAGTGCTACAGCTTGCGGATGTCACGCTGTGTTAGAGGACAAGCCTGGGCTCCAACCTGGTTTTCGACTCTAGGAGTCACTTTCCCAGACCACTAGCCTCTTGCTCACCCTCATTTTCCCCCAGTGGCTGGCCAAGGTGGCTGTCAAATTGAGTCCTTTGAGAGCTTTTCAAACACAAAGCTGGAGATTTCCCAGCTCCCCAACCTGGGAGATGTTTCTTACAGGGAGGAGGCACAGGCCACGGGTAGAGGGAACCCATGGGGTGTTTGGGTTGAAGCTGCACCTGTGTCCTGCTGAAGGTGAACAGCACAGCCGCATCCCCGCTGAAGGTGAACAGCACAACCGCATCCCTGCTGAAGGCGAACAGCACACCCGCATCCCCTGCTGAAGGTGAACAGCACAGCCGCATCCCCTGCTGAAGGTGAACAGCACAACCGCATCCCCGCTGAAGGTGAACAGCACAGCCACATCCCCTGAGGGTTACCCAAGAGTTCACCTTTGTTACCTAATTAATCAGCAGGTATTCTTATCTTTATATATAGATGAGGGAGCTGAGGCTCAGAAGAGAGGTGCACAGGTAGAAAAATCATCTCTCTGAACCCAAGCTCATGTTTGCAGATTCCAAGTCCACACTCAAAAGGATTTGTCTCAGGAGGATAAAGATCAAACACAGCAGCTAGGAGTACACATTTGATTCAGAGAGGGTGAGCATAAAACTATGCTTAGACACATGGACACAGGGAGGGGAGCACTACACACTGGGGTCAGTTGGGGGGAAATAGGCGAGGGACGGTGGGGGGTGGGGAGCTGGGGAGAGAGAGCAAGGGGAGAGATGCCAGATGTAGGTGATGGGGAGGAAGGCAGCAAATCACACTGCCACGTGTGTACCTACGCAACAATCTTGCTTGTTCTTCACATGTACCCCAAAACCTAAAATGCAATAAAATAAATAAATGGGAAAGAAAAAGAAAAAAAGTATGCTTCGAGCAAGGGGAAATCAGAATTCCTGGCATGAGGAGGACTGTCTTAGCTCAAGAAAACAGTGACTTTTTAGTATTTTTCATTATGTGGAGTGTTGAATTTAATTCAGCAAACATTTGCTGTGGGTCAGCTGTGCTCTAGGTGCGCTGGGCATGTGTGAAAAGGGGTGTAGGTGATTTCATCCACGATGGAGACTTCACATTTCTATGAAGCCGAAGTCTCCTAAACCTATGGCCTCTCCAGCCAGACCTTTTCTTCTGAGCTACAGCTCAAACCACCACCTGGGATCCGACCTGCCCTCCGGCTTTTCAGCTATCTACACTTGCATAAAAAACCCGCCCATGATTTACTGGCTTAGATCAGTTATTTTGTCACTTGTCAAGATTTTGTGGGTTGGCTGGGCTCAGTTGGGTGGTTTTCCTGCTCAACATGTTGTCTTCTGGGACTGTAGTCATCTGGGGGTTCAGCTATCCTGGAAAGTCCAAGATGGCGCAATGAGGCACTCATGTGCGAGCAGTAGGTGCTGGCTGCCAATGGGATCACAATGGGGCTGTCAGCTCGTGCATTTTTGTTCTCCTCTATGTCACCTCTCCATGATGCTGGAACTGCTCACAGCACAGTGGCTAGATTCTAGGAGGAAGGAAGCAGAAGCTGTCAGTTATCTTAAGGCCTGGATTCAGAAATTCTAGAACACTAATTATTTGGTCAAAACAATAGTCTCTCACTAGCTCTTTCCTTCAGAGGCACCAAAAGGGAGTGTCGAAAATACAAAGCTGATCATGTCATTCACATGAGTAACAGCTCTCAAAGGATCTCCAAGGATAAACACAAAAGACTCAACCTTTATCCAAATCCCTTTGTGATATGGTCCCTGTGAAGCCCTCCAGACTCCTCAATGTGCCCCTGAGCCTTGGCCACCGCATGGACTTGGGATTCCTTCAGCAAGCTAACATCTTCAGAGCCTCCATGTCATCACCCATGGGTGCATATAGCAGGCACTCATAACTGTGGAATAATTCACATGATCATCTCATGTAGAATTTCCAATGATCTGAAGGAATCCCATTTGTGATATGAGCTCCATTTTAGTAAGCTGACTTTTCCACAAGTATGTATTGTGTGCCTGCTGTATGAAGGCACATTTTCCTGCTGAGCCCCATTTGTTGCAAACTGGAGCTGAATCGCTGTAGTCCCTGGTGACAGCCTTAGCAATCTCTCACACAAGAGCTGCCCTGGGAGGTTTTCTTGGCTCTGGGGCCTGGCAATGCAAAATGTTTTGGGGAAATAGAGGTTTACTTAATGGTGGCAGCTCCAAGTCTCCCATGCTCAAACAGCTGCTCTGGGAGACCCTCAGTGCCACTACTCATAACGGGATTTGAGGTGGGGTTAAAGGGGAAGGATGAAGAACACTTAATATCAGAAGATGTCTGATGGGGATCAGACACCTGTCACGTGGTCCATTGTTACTATGGTTACTGAGCTGACAGCAGCTGCAGTGGCCTGCATTTATAACAGGAAGAGGGACCCCAGCCCAAGAAGAAAAGCTTGCCTTTGCCTCTTTCACACACAGTAAACCTATGGCAGAGCGAGGAATAGACCCCAGGGGATCTGAAGCCCAGCTGAGCCGTCAGGACTCTGAGCTACCTTTGCTACCCAACCAGCCACCCTCAGACATCTCATCAAAGATGCGACGTTTGCTTCTTGGCTACTGAGATGCAGATAGTGGCCTTTAATGATAACCCACTGAAAAAAGGCATCGCTAGTTTCCTTTGAAAAATGAGAGTATGCCTATTGGGAAAGGCGGTTGACAGAGTCAGCTGAGCAGATCAGTTAAGACAGTTAGAGGCTGAGACCTGCAAATAATTGAAAGTGCTGAGGCCACATTTCTAAGGGCAGACAGAGCAAGATGGTTAGGAAGCATCTACGAGGCTGAGGGATGGATCTTTGAAGGTTCCCCAGCCTCTTGATGAAATGTCCCCCTTGTTATTTTGATCAATGTTGTGCATGTTAGATGTTTAAATATTCTGAGTAATCACTCTGAACTTCTAAGGTACTAAAATGCTTTCATCTGGAGAAAAGGATTTCAGAAATAGGAGGTTCTCTTATTTAGCAAGCATCTGTGGTGTCTGCACATGGTGCTATGCAGGGAAATATATCAGAAGAATAACTGTATTTTAACATTGCAAGGATTTCAGTTATCACCTGGAGAATCCTTTTATTTTATCAATAAGGAAACCGAGGTTCAGAGACATTGTGACCCGCCCAAAGGGTAGGAGTTAATGACAACCAGGATGGTGTTTTAGGTCAGGGTAAACCTGATTCTGCTGCAATAACAACTCAAAACCTCAGAGATGAACTCAATAAAAGTATAAGTCTCCCTCCTTTCTCAATTCAAGGAGAGTCAGATGACTCATTTGGGCAGCTCTTCTCCAACTGGTGACTCGGGAATCTGGTTTGCTTCTGTCTTGTGACTCCTTCACTTCCAGCCATGCAGGGAAGAGAAGGATACTTGTGGCATTCTAGAGGACACAGCTGGAAATGGGGGACACAGAGCATCCCCATTCCACTGGTCAGAATTTGGTAACAAGACAAACATAACAGCAAGAGAGGCTGGAAAATGCAGAGGAGAATGTGGAGACGCAGGATCAAAAGTAGTCCTGCCACAGAAGCCAGAACCTTGTCTAGTGCATATTTTTCTAATTCATTCACTCACTCAGCAGATGTTGAGTTTCCATTATCAGGTGTTGTGCCAGGTGATAGAGCAAAGAGAGTGAGTGAAACCCGGCATGATTCTCTTGCCATGGAGAGTTTACATTCCCATGGGGAAGACGGATGCTCATCATTCCTCACACATGTAAAATTACAAATGTCATACAGGCTAAGAAGAAAAGGACTTATTCAGATATATCACAGAAGTTTCCTGGAAGAAGTAAGAATTGAGCTGAGGTGTCAAAGAATAGAGTTAACTCAGCAAAGAAAGAGGAGAGAGTGTGTCAGCAGCCCTGTGAGGGAACAGCACAGTGGGGATGGAGCGGCGGTGGCCTGACCAACAGGCTCTCCAGAAAAAAAAAATAGGATTTTTAGCATTTGTTGATTTTTCTAGTATAAAATATCCCCACTGTGATCAATTTCCAGCTACCAACAAATTCCTGAATTTCCCATTGGCTCTTGTGAGCTTGGAGGAGCCAGTTTCAGCACACAACCAGGAGAGTGAATGAGCCTAAAGAAAGAAGCAGGGGCCAGACAACAGGGCTTGGAGGCCATCGTAAAGCCATTGCATGTTTTTAGGCAGAGGAGCAGGATGTAATCAGAATTGCATTTTTTAAAGATTCCTGGCCAGGTACAGTGGTTCATGTCCATAATCCCAGCACTCTGGGAGGCTGAGGAGGGCAGATTGCTTGAGTCCAGGAGTTCAAGTCTACCCTGGGTAACATGAGGTAACCATGTCTCAAAAAAAAAAAAAATTGCTGAGAGGGATTGGGGAGGAACAAAGTGGTTACTGGACTAAAGAGGAAAAGAGGAAGCCATAGCAGGCACCAAGGGAGAGACACCATGCTTCCCTTCAGGAATGGGGAGTCCATGGCAGGCTGAAATTGTTGATGGCACAAGGAGAGGGCAGGTATGGTGTAGGGAAGCAGTCACTTTTCCTCTCTGGCCCCCAGTTTTCAGCCCTGTGCTGCTAGCTCTCTCATTTGATGACTTTACAGGTTCTCCAAGCTAGACCATGGCTGACTGGGTGTTCCCCAAGCCCACGTCCCTCGCCAAAGGTGAGATGTGCAAGGGGAAGTTGCCTGGGATAAGGAGTGGAGATTCTGGGCCCCACCACAGGCTCTTGCAGAGCCCAGGAGAGCTGAGATACTGACAGTGAGGAGAGTAAGCAGTGCAGCTCAGTCCAGGCCCAGGGGTGAGGCCCACTCCCAGGACTCCTGTTGCTGACCCTGAGCAATTCTGGCTGAGTCTTAAGGAACAAAGAAGAAAGGGGAGAAAGGGATTGGGTCTGGGGGGCCCTGATCCAGAAATTCAAGTCTTTGAATGGTAGGAAACTCTTCTGGTGTTGGAGCAAATTGCAGTGTTACTGTATTAACCATTAGGTCATCAGCTGCCCTGGCAGGGCCTTTTCAACAATGCAGGATTCCTTCAAATCCTGATTCCATCTCAGCACAAGATGAAGTCACACGTTCTAGTGCTCATGAGCATGGCTCCTTGATTCCCTTCCGTTTATTCTGAAGCTAATCTAAAGGTTCCAGTTGGTTCTAGGCTTCTGGAATGTACAACAATTACAAGACTTCGTCTGGAGAATTTCGCCTGCCATATTGGAAGGAAGGTTAGCATTTTTTTCAGAATTGAGTTGCTTAACCTTGTGGGGTTCATGTGAATATAATAAAAGCAATTTCCTTTTCCAGAAAAATGTCTGAATGTAACATATATGTAATTCCATATGAAACTCTAAATTGTTCAAAAATCATATGATGCCTTGAACCCCAGGTTAAGAGTCGCTAGTGTGGTTGAAAGAAGAGTGGAAAAGTGCATTTGGCTGGGCACAGTGGCTCATGCCTGTAATCCCAGCACTTTGGGAGGCTGAGGGAGGTGAATCACAAGGTCAGGAGTTCAAGACCAGCCTGGCCAACATAGTGAAACCCCGTCTGTACTAAAAATGCAAAAACATTAGTTGGGCATGGTGGTGGGCACCTGTAATCCCAGCTACCTGGGAGGCTGAGGCAGGAGAATAGCTTAAACCCGGGAGGCGGAGATTGCAGTGGGCTGAGATCGCATCACAGCATTCCAGCCTGGGTGACTCAACAACAAAGAAAAAAAAAAGAAGAAGAGTGGCCTTGAAATAAGAAGAAATGGGTAGAAATGGGTTCAAATCCTTTGTCTGTGTGTGCACTAAGCTGTGTGATCCATTGGCAAGTAACCTTGATATTTTGGAGCCTTCGTTTTCTTATTGGCAAAATAGGGGCAATCATCTCTACTTTATAGGAATGTTGTGAGGATGACCTGAAGCATAGTGCTGTGTGAATCACAGAGGATTCTCAAATAATTTTAATTTTAAAATTCAAATGATCTCATTTGTTTCCGGCCCTCTAATTTCTTAATAATGCAGCTTGGCTTAGTGAAAATAGTAGGCATTGAAGTCCCACAGGTATGTGTTATTCTAGCTCTATTGCTTATTAGCTGCAAGTCCCTAGATGGACGAATTAGCTTAAACTGCTTGAACTTTCATTTCTGTATTTGCAGAAAGTGAGTGACACGTGATTTAGAAATGTGGTTGCGATTATTCCCTTTCCTGTGTCCATACCCTTTTGCAATGTGACTTTGCAAAGAGGTTGAGTCTATTGATCTACTTCTTAATCTGAGCTGGACTTGTGATTTGTTTTGGCTAATTGACTGTAGCGGAAGTTACATTGTGCCAAATTCTAAGCCTAGGTCTCGAGAGATCCTGGAAGTTTCCATTCTGCAACATAGAATCCTGCCCAGCTACCATGTGAAGAAGCCCAACCTATCTTGCAGGAGGACAAGACATTAAGTGAGCTAGTTATTCCCATGACTCCAACACACAACAAGCCAATTCCCAGAAGCAGAGCTCATGACTGAACCCAGATAAAACTAGAAAAACCACCCTGCTGAGCCCAGCCAAAGAGCCAACCCACAGAATAATGAGCTAAATTAAAATTACAAGTCATTTTAAGCCACTAAATTTTAGTGTTATGTGTTAAGAACTGATACAAACAGGGAGATGACAGTCTCCTTGACAGGACTGCTGTGAAAATACATAATGCTAATTCTTGTAAGGTACCTAGCATAGGGCCTGGCACATGGAAGCTGCACAACAGGTGGCTTGGATGATGAATCCTGGTTCCCAAAGGCCATGCTATCAAGCACTTCCAGCAATGCCTGATAGATACACCAGCTCATTAACAATTGTACAAGAATCGATCCTATAGACTCCAACTCTTAAGAAGGGTACAGTGTTAGTTCTCTGAACCAACCTCCATTCAACCAGCTTTCCAGATTGGCCCAAGCTATCCACTCCTTCTGGAGAACCTGCTGCCTGACGCTCACGGCCTGTCCTCTCATTGCTCTTTTCCCTCCTCCAGCAGAGTTGTATACTCACTTGAGTTAGTTGTGCTTGTCTCAGAATCTTTTTATGCCAGTTGATCTCATTATTGATTTATATACTTTAATTAACTGATATGTCAACTAATAACATAGAAGCATAAAGGAAAGTTAGTTCTATAAGAACTAAGGTGGGTGCTTTGCAAAGACCCATTAGGGTAAGTTGCTTTTAGAACTGCCGTTAAAATAGGTATGAGCAAGTTATCTGTAAAAGGCTGGGACAACTCACAAAATGCTAGAAGGATTCTGCCATCAGATTGCCAGGAAAGTGTCTCCCAGTTCTTCCTCTACTGCAGAGAATGCAGGACTGGAAATTGTAAATGAAACATCATGAGTATGCACATGAGGTAACAGTGCTAACATTTATTAAGTGCTTCCTACACATCAGGCTCTGAGCATTTTGTCTGTACTAATGTATTTAGAAATTTAAAAAATTTTGACACAGAGTCTAATCATCAAAATGTGAGAAAACTAGTGCAAACTATAATTTAGATTAAAATACAACATTTAAAGTGTGTGTCATTTTGAACTTATAGAAGTATAACCTACAGATGAAAAGTGCAAAGGTCATAAGCATAGCATGGTGGATTTTTACAATGTGAACTCATATTTTTATCCATGCCTAAGTCAAAAAATATAACAATACTCACATTCCTCAAATTCTGTATATTTTGTTTCTAGGTTTCCCCCATTTTAAACGCATTTTAAGATGGACTGAGCAGGAACACTCCTCTATGGTGGGGAAGAGGAACCACCGGCACTGACCCACGAATTGGAAGATGCTGCCACCTAGAGGATGTGAAGGAAAATGAACCTTCTCCCAGAGTTTCACTCCTGGACGGTTTTTTTTGTTGTTTTTGTTTTTTTGAGATGGAATCTCGCTGTATTGCCCAGGCTGGAGTGAGTGCAGTGGCGTAATCTCGGCTCACTGCAACCTCTGCCTTCCTGGTTCAAGCAAACCTGCCTCAACCTCTCAAGTAGCTGGGATAAAAGAGGCCCGCCACCACTCCCTGCTAATTTTGTATTTTTAGTAGGCAGGGTTTCAACATATTGGCCAGGTTGATCTTGAACTTCTGACCTCAAGTGATTCACAAGCCTTGGCCTCCCAAATTGCTGGGGTTACAGGTGTGAGCCACCATGCCCAGCCGACTCCCAGACCTTTACCTCTCCCTATGAGGCCTTCTCTGCCCTTTATCTAAAATTACCAGCTCTCCACCCATTGTCCCATCACTTCCTGTTCCCTGTCACCTGACTTTTTCAAGCCCCTGGCACTTGTCATGATTTAATATTCCATCCAATTCCCCTTACCTGTCTAATTTCTCTTGCTGATGGTCTGAGTTCCTCTTCTGGAATAGAGGCCCTAGGAAGGCAGGTGTAGGGCCTGAGTTGTCCAGCGATGTATCTCCAGCCCTAGAGCTGTACCTGGCACATCACAGCACTTCAATACATATGTCAAGTGGACAGACAGGAGCCCTATCCCCGACCCAAAGCCCTGCCTTGTGGACCTTAACCCAAGCCCTGAGGCTTCACGGCACCTTCACGCACAGCCCCTTTGCAGGCTCACTCCACCTCTTCCCTTCTCCCCACACCTTGTGGGGAGGGCCAAAGGGAGAGTCTAGAACCCCCAAGCACTGTGTGAACTGCTCCAGAGCTGAAATGGGAAGAGCCTGGCCAGAACTCCTGGCCACTGTGGCCTATGTCATAGCCTGTGCTAGTGGCAGGCAGGCTGGAATGTCTCACTGTGTCATGGTTAAGCGGGACCAGTCTACCCGGCAGTGAATTCGAGTTCCACAAGGGAACCAGCTGTGTGGCCTCTAACAACGCACTTTATCTTGGTGAGGCTCAGTTTTGCCATCCATTAAATGGAGAGAATGAAGTGATACAGTGAGCATGACGTGCTTCACCCAGTGCCTGGCATGTGGTTGGCACTGGACTGCTGGAAACGATTACCACTATTTTGAAGGGTTAGGACTGAAAGGAAACCTCGAGGTCCTATGGTCCAGGAGAAGCACTTTTCATTGGTATTTGAAATTTGAGGTCCTGTGGCTCAGGAGAAGCGCTTGTCATTGTTATCTGAAAATTCTGCCATAGTTTTATGTGGGAATTCAGAATAAAAGACAAGCTGCTGTGGTGGAAAGAAGGTGGGGAGAAGAATCCCCTGGGATCACTGCATCCCCAAGCCCTCCTCCCCACTCTACACACCATCCATCCCTAGGGATAGTCAGAGCCACCCCCAAAGTGCTGTGAGACCACCAGTGGTGATCCGCAGCCTCGTTTTACAGATAGGAACACCAAGGTCAAGAGAGGAGATTGCTGGGCTGGCTCCCAGACCTCCTGACTCTCTGTCTAGGGTTCGCTTCAGGTCCTCTGCTGCTTCCCAAGCCATTCATGGGCTTATTTCTTAGTTGGTTAGTGAAGGGCTCAAGGGGAAAGTGAGCTCCTTTCACCCCACTCAAATCAGGGTGGGCTTCCAGATGAAGCAGGAGGAATTTGGGAGACTTTTGAAAGAGACTTAATAGCATATTGGAGAAGAAATCTCAGAGTCAAAATCAAATTGGTGAATTGGAGGAAATCTATAGGCAAAGCCAGGGCCAATGTGATGTCGTGGAACAAAGATGCCAGAGGGAGTTGGGAAATTATTGTGAAAACAGAATCAAATCAGTGAAAAGTACTTTGAAAAGTACTTAAGTGCTAGATAAACAACAAGATGTTTATTGCCATCCATATCATCATTACACTTTATGTCAATCAACAGGACTGGAAGTAGTTCTAATTAGGAGGAGATTCAACACCACAAATACAAATTACCTGATATATGCAAAATGCTGATTTCTGGGCCCCACCTCAAGAGGCTGATTTGGGGACCACTCACGAGCCTAGTGTTGAAGGTTAATAAAATCTGAGCCTTCATCCTTTGCTCCAGTTCTGTCATAAAACTGAGTTATTTACTTATTGCTTATGACACTAACTACATGTCAAATCTTAGCCTCAAACTTTCAAGTGCTCATAATTAACATAAGTGTCTCAGGAATGAACAAAGGCAGAATTCCCTCTCTTTGGCAGGTATAGTGAGAGTATGGTCTTTTCAATTTTATTTTTGCAAACAGTCTGATTAGATGCAGCATAAAACTGAGATCATTTGTGAGAACATCCATCTTAGTTTCTGAGCAAGGCAGACACATGTGGGTTGTGACTGACTGTTTTCAGGGATGACCATCAATAAATTCTTTCACTCCCCTTACACTGAGAGGTAGAGTCCAATTTCCCTCAATGTGAGCTGGCCTTGGTGATTTGCTTGGCCAACAGGGTGTGGTAGAAGTGACGTTTTGAAACTTTCTAAACTAGTTCGTAGGAAGCCTCTCAGCTTCTGCCTGCCTGGCGCCTTTGGCAGCTTCACTCTGGGTGTTCACTCTCAGGACTCATTTCTTTCTTTTTTTTTTTTTTTTTTTCTCTCAGCTCACTACAACCTCCACCTCCTGGATTCAAGCAATTCTCCTGCCTCAGTCTCCCTAGAGGCTGGGATTACAGGTGCATGCCACCGCACCCGGCTAATATTTTGGTAATTTTTAGTAGAGATGGGGTTTCACCATCTTGGCCAAGCTGTCTTAAACTGCTGACCTCGTGATCTACCCACCTTGGCTTCCCAAAGTGCTGGGATTAGAGGTGTGAGCCACTGCGCCGGGCCTCAGCTTCTTTCTTTAAATACTTATTTTTATTTTTTGTGGGTACATGTTAGGTGTATATATTTATGGAGTAAATAAGATGTTTTGATATAATACAAGCTTGCAATGTGAAATAAGCACATCATGGAGAATGGGGCATCCATTCCCTCAAGCATTTATCCTTTGCGTTACAAGCAATCCAATTGTGTTCTGCAAATTATTTAAAATGTACAATTATTATTCACTATAGTCACCCTATTGTGCTATCAAATAGTAGGTCTTATTCATTCTTCCTACTTTTTATGTACCATTTCCATCCCCATCTCCTCCTCAGACCTCCACTACCCTTCCCAGCCTCTGGTAACCCTCCTTCTATTTTCTATCTCCATGAGTTCAATTGTTTTCATTTTTAGATTCCACAAATAAGTGAAAACATGCCATGTTTGTCTTTCTGTGCCTGGCTTATTTCACTTAACCGCAACGATCTCCAGTTTCAACCATGTTGTTGTCAATGACAAGATCTCATTCTTTTTTATGGCTGAATAGTATTCCAGTATGTATATGTACCACATTTTCTTTACCCATTCATCTATTGATGTATCCTTAGGTTGCTTCCCAATCTTAGTACTATAAAGAGTGCTGCAACAAATATAGGAATGCAGGTACCTCTTCCATACGCTCATTCCCTTTCTTTTGGGTATATACCCAGCAGAATTGCTGGATCATATGGTAGCTCCATTTTTAGTTTTTTGAGAAAACTCCAAACTGTTCCCCATAGTGATTGTACGAATTTACATTCCTAGCAACAATGTACAAGTGTTCCCTTTTCTCTACATCCTTGCCAGCATTTGTTATTGCCTGTCTTTTGGATATAAGCCATCGTAACCGAGGTGAGATGATATCCCATTGTAGTTTTGATTTGCATTTCTCTGATGATCAGTGATGTTGAGTGCCTTTTCATATGCCTGCATGCCCTTTGTATGCCTTCTTTTGAAAAAATGTCTAAAATGTCTATTCAAATCTTTTGCCCATTACTTGATCAGATTATTCCTTCCCCTACCCCCTACAGAGTTGTTTGAGTTCTCCATATATTCTGGTTATTAACCCCTTGTCAGATGGGTAGTTTGCAAATAACTTCTCCCATTCTGTGGGTTGTCTTTTCACTTTGTTGATTGTAGGAACTCAAAACTCAGCTTCTGCATTCTGAGAAGGGCAAGTATGTGGTGGGGTCATGTATAGAAGCTTCAGTTGACAGCCTCAGCTGAACTTCTAGCCAACAACTCACACTAACTGACTTATGAATGAGCTATCTGGTACATACAGCGCACTCTAGCCTTCGGATGACACCAACCCCAGCCGCTATCTGAATACACTGTCTGAGAGACTCCAAATGAAAATTGCCTGCATGAGCCCAGTCAATCCTCAAAATCATGAGATAATTATACATTATTGTTGTAAACCACTAAGTTTTGAGACAATGAATAGAGCAATCATTTACCAAAATGTGTCAATATTTATGTACCTCTTCCCAGTTTATTCTGTTTCCTGTTGATATAAATCTATCTGCAGAAAAATAATTTGAATAAAAGGGTCTTGTAAAATTTCTAAGACTTTAGAGATTATTGCTATGTCCTGTGAAAATAAACGTCAAAGAGAAACCTGCAATTCTGACAGGCATTTCTCTGGCAATAATGCTATAAAAGATATTTCAGTATTCTTAAAAAGTATAAATATTGGCCAGGCATAGTGGTTCACGCCATAATCCCAGTGCTTTGGGAGGCCGAGACAGGTGGATCACCTGAGGTCAGGAGTTTGAGACAGCCTGACCAACATGGTGAAACCCTGTTTCTGCTAAAAATACAAAAATCAGCAGGGCATGGTGGTGAGAGCCTGTATTCCCAGCTACTAAGGAGGCTGAGATAGGAGAATTGCTTGAACCTGGGAGAATCGCTTGAACCTGGGAGGCGGAGGTTGTAGTGAGCTGAGATCGCACCATTGCATTCCAGCCTGGATGACAAGAGTGAAACTGCATCAAAAAAAAAAAAAAAAACTATGAATGTTGTAAGATGCTCTGCCAAATCAGGGCAGGACTATTGGACTTTCTTCTTCTTCCACACACATGATTGGGGAGAAAAGCCTTTGGCTCTGTTAGACTTCTTATTTTAACAAATAAATAAAAAGGGCTTTTTTTTTTTTTTTTTTTTGGTCTTTAAATTATGATGGGAAATAGACATTTTTCAATAAGCTCCCCACATGCTGCTGGTGTAGATGGGCCATGGACCACAGTTTAAGAAGCATCAGTAATTTGGCTGTGCCTCAGGAGGAGGGCAGGGCCTTGAGTTATTTATTTATTTATTTTTTTGGTATCTCCTCAGCCTCGGAACCAGGAACTCCTCCTACTGAACTCCGAGGCTCTGTGGCATGCAGGAGAGCCTGAACCTGCCCTGGCTCTGCAGACCAGCCTCTCCTGGGACCTCAGTAAAGTTACTTCCCCTCTAGGGGCCCCTAATTGCCTTAATTAACCCCACAGGGCTTTTGTAAGGATTAAGTGAGTTAATACGAAGTGCTTAGAACAGCAACCATTGCATGTGAAAGGGCCTATGAATACTGTTGTTATTGTTAATCAGTTTTTCCGCCTTTCCCACCACACCTAGTAAGGGCCTGAGGGCATGAAGTGACAGTGGTGAACTTGCCCTTTCTTGCATAGTCTTGATAGTTTTACCATTAAAAAAA